CACTGAATGTCCAGGAATGAACCACAACACCTGGTGTTCCTTGATATTGTAGAGTAAGAGGAGACAGACAGGGAATGAAGAGAGAACCGAGGGTGAGGATTAGTGGGGATCTGGCCTGGCATCATCTCTTACTACTTGGGCTGAACCCTACAGGCATCCTCCATAGAATCCAGACCATACATGAAAATGCATATCCTGAAGGGATTTTCAAGGGACTAATTAAGACAGTACATGTGACAGACAAGACCACCTGGCACCTAATGTATCTGTGACCTAGATGAACCCTTGTTATTTTACTGGTATCCTAAAAAATTTAACTTTGCCCTTTTGGCAATGGGGTCTTGATGAAGTTTAGACAGGGTAAAGAAGTATTTATTTATGTATTTGTTGCTGCTGCTGCTGCTAATGCTATTTATATTTTCTGCTACTAAAAAGTGAACCTAGGGTTTCAAATTTGCTAGTCAAGCAACCTACCTCCAAACTATATCCCTGTTTTCATTTAAAAAAAAATTGACACATTATCTTTTCTGAGTTACCCAGGCTGGTCTTGAAATTGTAACCCACTTACATGAATCCAAGCCTGCTTCACCAGGTAGAATAGATCTACATTCATAAAGCCCTGTCTGGTGACAAAATAGCAGGTTTGGGAAGGGAAGCTTGGATGTGGGGCGGGAAGGTGCAGAGCAGAGAGGAGGAGGGCCATGAGAGACGCTCAGGGTGGGAAGTAAGAGAGCATGGCTTACATGAGATAGATCGGATCAGGGCAGGGTGAGCCAGACATGATGGGATTTGGAGAGCCAGGGTCAAAGAGAAGTCAAGCTAGGGCCAAAGATTTGGAGTCATCCTTAGATGCTCAGGAGCTGTGCCACCCAGGGTCTCCTAATCAGAAGGCTCTTGACAAGTTCTTCCATTTTTACTGTATATTAACATTCTCAGGGAGCCAGACACCAGGAAATAATAACCCATGCATTTGATGCAGGCATCACCCAAGTTCCATTTTTGCCTGCATCTGTGTGGTGCTTGTCTCCACAAGGTAAAATTGCCCAGGCAGGCAAAGGAAAATGAGGGTCCAGCTGGGAGCCAGTGGGAGGTAGAGGGCCACCTGCAGTGGCGCCTTGCCAGCTTTGTGCTCTCAAAGCTGTACTCCTGACACACTCATTACCCGGGAGCTTCATGTCATTCCAGGCTTGTTGGGCCCTCTTCCCCAAGCCACCTGGGGTGAGGAGAGCCCCTGGGAAGCACTTATGCTTTCCTAAACCTCAGAACAGGCCACTCCAGACAGAATCAGGCTCTTGCTAAAGCCGCCCTTGAGGAAGCTGGTCAATACCATTTACCAGATATTTCTAAGCCCACTCCTGTTTGGGGTTTCACCCGTTTTTCCTGCTGGTACCTTATAAGAAACATGCAAGCTGTTCACTGATGGCCAGTGTGTGGGAACTGGCAAGTGGTAGGATAGGAATCCATGCGTGTTTCATAGGAGCACGTGTGGGGCTCATTTCCAGGTCAGATTGCCCTGAATGTTTATCTCTGGCTTAATTGACAAGCAAATTAAGGCAATCAGCATGAGGGATATTTATTTTAAGGAATTAAGACAATTGTTTGTATAATTGTGAGGTATAGGAAATCCAAACTGTGCAGAGACCCAGGGCACAGTGGATGTAGCAACTACAATCTTAAGACAGACTCTCTTGCTTTTTGCCCCCCAACTGACTCCTTCAACTGATGGATAAGGCCCACCCATGTGATGTAATTAATTCAAAGTCTACTAATATTATCTAAGAAATACTTCCACGAGAACAGAGAAACTAGCATATGTTCAAATATTGGGGTACCAATATTCCAGCCAACTTGACATGTAAAGTTAACCATCATCCTCCTGAATATTGGCTGAGACTCCATCTCTCTGTAAGATCCCAGACATGTTAACTCTGCTTGGCCATGGGAACTGGGAAGTAATCCAAGAAACAATGGTTGGGAGGTACACCAGATATCACCAAACCCAGCTTGACCAAGTGGCAAAACCAGAGAGAGGAAACATGTCTGAAACACACACACAGCCACACACAGGCATATACCCACCCCAGCATGAGAACTTGGGCTCAGTCCCTCAGCACTACACAGCTCTATCAAGGCTTTACCTGCCTATAATCCCAGTGCTAGGAAAGTGAAGACAGATACAGAGCTCACTGACAGCCAGTCTAGTTGAGTTGGTAAGACCTGGGTCCAATGAGAGATGTTATTTCAAAAAATAAGGTAGAAAGTAGACAGACTTGTTGGCTTCTGGCTTCCATATACATGTGCACATGCTCATGCACACAAAGTGACTGTTTTATTTCCAGAGGAGTTAGTTTGCCTAAGACCCATGAGTGGTGTGAACAAATAGGATTTGACTGCTTATAAATAGTAGGCTCTGATTTAAAGCTGGATTTGGAAAATGTTGTTGGCCTTGAAAAATTATAAAATAATTGTGGAAATATAAAATGATCATGGAAAAGCACTAGATTCCAAAATCGAGGAGAGTCAAAAGCAAAATATCAAGAACAGATAAGAAATGAAGGAGCGTTCTAACTTAAAAATGAGAAATGTCAGAGCATTCATTAAACCCTGTGGTTTTTGTTAGGACTTACTGTTACAAAGAGGTACTTTCTTCTTGCCCAATAGAGAAAAAAAGGAGCCCCAACAAACTCCTAATGATTGACCCGAAGAATCCTACAACACTTTTCCCTTGTATACTCATGGCTGTCCAGATAGTCAATTAAATGGCACACCTGGACTTCAGCCACTTTGAAGACTACCTTACAGGACCACTGAGCAACCTGCTGTCAACCTGATTCTGACCCATACACAGCCCAGCTGAAGACTGTGGGAAATGAGCAAAAAACAGCCCTAAAATAACTCAGAGTTAGCATTGTCCTTACATCTTGACCTATGATAACCCACCCAGGAGGCATGAGAAGCAGTGTGCAGGCAACAGGCTCAGGGGTCAGGGTGTTGGGGACCAGGCTACTGATGGCAGTCAAGACTTTGAGTCGCCCCTGATCCCCACTTCTCCAAGCTGTTCGAGTTTGGAGCCACTCTGGCCTGCAGAAGTACTTGTCATACCTCCTATCATTTGGGCCCAGTTGTTTTCAAGAAAGAGATGGCCACTGATTTGTTGGAATTAACATCACTTTCTGAGACCAGAACTGTTAAAGATGGTACAGAAGGATGCTGACAGAAATACCTCAGCTCATAAAGGGGTTGATGTTCAAGCATGAGGCCCTGCCAAGCAGGACAATATATGCCTGAAATGTCACTGCTGCAGAGACAGGGAGATCTCTGGGGCTTGGTAGCCAGCTAGTGTAGCCTAATTGATGAGCCCAAGAACCAAGAAAGAGATCTTGTCTTTTCAAAAAAACAAAGACAAAAAAGCTCCTAAGAAATTCTACTCAAGATTAACCTCTGGCCTCCACATATATGCACACACACACACACACACGCAGGCACACACGCGCACGCGCGCACACACACACACACACACATGTATCCACATATTGATCCTAGGTGGCACAGGAGGAAGCATTCCTATGAGCTCTGAACAAATGAAAGCTTTATTAAGAAGCCTCAAGGACCCAGAACCTACTGCTTGTTTTTTTTTTTTTTTCATTTGCTCACTCACAGATGTGGTTTCTGTTTGGCTGATGTGTGCCTGGGGAAGGGAGGCAACTGGGAGATGCTCAAAGTGGAAACTTGGTTCATTTCAGTTCATCTCTGAGCATCCTTTGAGCCCTTCTGAGAAGAGAGAGGGATACATGTGAGGATGTAGGAGGAGGCTGCTTTGAGCTGGGATATTAGCCTGGCACAGATATAGTCTAGTTTCTGGACTACAGATAGTTCTATAGAGAAAGAAAGGCTGGACAGAATGAGACTTGGTCCCAGCAAGCCCAGATCTTGTTCCTTTCATGTCTTGTGACCATTGATGATGGCACTTTGAAGTGGTGGGCCTGTTTTTTAAGTCCAAGGCTGTCCAGGGCAGTCCAGGCCTGGGGCAGGGGTATAAAAAGTTTTCTCCTATAGCAGGTACTATCTGGTGGGTAAGAGAGGTCCAGGATTCTGAAGCCCACCTTGCCAACTTTCTCAAGAAAGAAATAACTTCTTTCATAGAGCTCAAAGACCAACCTAGAATTGAATAGCTTAGGAAGAAAAACAGAAAGGTCAAATTAGGCTTAGAGTCAAAGGAAGTTTTCTGTGACCTGGAGGGAAAATCAACTCATGGGTATAGAAGACAGTATTGGTGTGAGAGAAGGGTCCTGTGGAGAATGATGGTCTGTTGTGTGTGATGTTAGGGAATTTCTGTCAGCTCTGAAGGAAAGTATAAGCAGAGTAAGATGCAAGATGAAGAAGGGTGGGAGGGAGTTGAAGAGAAAGTTGTAAATAACCAAGAGCTCCAATGAAGAGTGCCTATGACCATGAATATAGATTGGGCGTGGGCCTGGAAGCCATAGGAACTTTCTGGAACATGGGTCAAGCTGAGCTAAAGTTACTGGAGGTGGCAGTGTGTAGGAGCCTTGTCTACAAGGACACTGGAAGCCAGGGCCAGCTAAGGAGCAAATGTCAGAGCTGAGAGAAGAAGCCCTAAAAGGCTAATGCTGGTAAGGAAGGAAGAGTGAACCCAAGGGACATGAACTCAGGTTCCCAAGCTGTCATGGAGTCTAATGTTGCAGGGCCTAGGCTCAAAGAGGAAAACCACGAGACAGGTAGAGAGGGGACCAATAGGAAGTTGGTGAATCCTGGGAAGAGAGTAGAAGGCAGAAGATACTGTAGGACTTGGGCTTTTGCCATGCATGGGTTTAAGGACAATTCATCTGAGAGACTAAACAGTCTAGAAGGGCAGCAGCCAGCCACCCTCCATCAGCCTCAACTTTCCCAGGGTGGGATGAAGCTTCCAGGGACAGCAGCCTGGGACTCTATGGCCAAGCCTAAGAAGCCTCTTTGAAAAAGTCTCTTTGCCTGTGTTTCAGGATCGCTGGTGACACAGCCCTCAGCAAAAACATTCACGAATCCGTCAGTGCCCAGATCCGGAAGAATTTTGCAAAGAGCAAATGGAGAGTAAGTCATTGGTGTGCCTACTTCATGCTTATCAAATTCTCCGGGAGTTTAAACCACTCTGGAGAAAGTGATTCTCCAATTTGCACATGTTGTGTTTCTAAGTGACCCATGATGGGGGTTGGGGGGTTGGATGGCAATCCCTAGGACCTTACTTGATTAGTTTTGCTAATTTAAATTTATTCTTCCAAACATTTTTAAAATTATTTTGTTGCATCATATGTGTGGGGTGTTTTGCCTGCATTCATGTCTATGCACAAATAGTTGTGAGCTACTATGCAGGTGCTGGAAATGGAACCCAGGTCCTCTGGCAGAGCAGCCAGTGATCCTAACCACTGAGCCAGCTCTCCAGCAACATAAATTTAAGTGATTTTTGATTTAAGACATGGATGGAACATCACAGTGTAGGAAAGGGTAAAGTATTTCCCATCCGTGTCTCAAAGAAAGCAACTGTGTGGGATCTTGTTTGCTCTCCCTTAAACAGCACGGTTCTCCTGTCTCCCTTACTTTGCTGGGACCTTAAATAATCACCTTTTATTAAAGGAAAAGGACACAGAAAACCAGGGTTGAGCTCATCAATGTTTCCTGGTTTTAAAAAAATGATGAATTTAAACCATCACAATTTCAAGATCATCTATTGATTGCCTAAACTCTGTATTCTAATCGGCATCAGTAATTAAAAGCTGGCTGTCTTGCTGTGAGTGCCAACAGAAACAAAATTAGTTCTGTTGAGCCAAGCACAATAGTACACGCCTTTAAAGCCAGCACTCAGGAGGGAGAGAAAGGCTCATCTCCGTGGGTTTGACCAGCCTGGCCTGCATAATAAATTCCAGGTCAGCTAGGACTGCACAATGAGACACTGGTTCAAAAAGAAAAATAAAATTCCCTTAACTTACTTTCTCATCAGAAGCAATGTCATTAATTAGGGCAATTGCATTAATTACGGAGCCAGCCCTAGTGTTACAGGGGTATAATTCCAGGTACTCAAGAGATTGAGGCGGGAGGATTACAAACTCAAGGCCAGCCTGGGCAGCTTAATAAAAGCCTCACATAATTCAAAAGTAAAAATAGAGTTGATAGAATATTTGCTTAACATATACACAGCTCTAAATTCAGTCCCTAGTACTGCCAAAAATGCAAAGAAAAGAAAGTACTATTGAACAGTAGTGGTGCACACCTTTAATCCCAGCACTTGGGAGGCAGAGGCAGGCACATCTCTGTGAGTTCAAGGGCAGCCTGGTCTACAGAGCAAGTTCCAGGACAGCCAGAGCTACACAAAGAAACTCTGTCTCAAAAAAAAACAAAAACAAACAAAAAATAAAAAACAAGTCACCAATTATAGAAAAATAGACTCTACCTTTCAATATTACATATTAAGATACAGTATTATATATGCTTTTGGTTCTAAAAGTCCCCTTTTGCAAATTATATAGAATATTGTTGTGAAATTGTTCTCAAAGTTTATGCCAGAAGCAAGTGAATTTTTAACCTCCAAAATGTATTTTGATGGGGAAGAGATTTAAATAAATGTGTGCATGTTTGAAAAGGACAACGGAACTTTTCTTTCTAAAGTGTCCTGAGAGTATCTGAGACACTTCGTAGTGCTTATGGTTTCTGGGTAAGCAAATTCGAGCAATCTTGGAATGTTTTCCAACTAGCTGAAATAATTTGTTGTCCTCCTCCCCTCCACCTTTTTGACCTCCTCCCTACATTTCAGCAAGCGTTTAATGCCACGGCCGTCGTGAGACACATGCGGAGGCTACAGCTCGGCAGCAGCCTGGACAGTTCAAATGCAAGTGTCTCAAGCAACCTCAGTTTGGCCAGCCAAAAAGATTGTGCGTATGTAGCAAAACCGCAATTCTTCAGCGGGCTTTTGAGATGAGTCCGGGTTGGGCAGGAGAGAGCTGAGCACCGACGGTTTGCCACACCATGTTCTAACACATCTAACCCATTTAATGTTCGTGACTACCTTAGAAGATCGTCAACATTTAATACCCACACTAGGTGATATCATTTCCATTTGTAGATAAGAAATCCACGGCACAAGTACCACACAACCAAAGATAAGGCCAGGGTACTTCACTGTCTCTCCTTCCTCTGATTTGCCTCTTTGTTCAGTCACCCTCTGGACTGCGTGGTATGGTCATGGTAGAATCCTCGTGGCCAGTTGCACTGATTTCCACAGTCTGGGTTTCATTATTGTTGATGTTGTGTTCATGAGGATGATGGGTATTTGAACTTATTAATATGCACCAAACTGGCTTTGCAATAAAAGCAACAGGGCTGCTCTTGCTTTGCCCTTCCTCTTTGTAAAGGATCAGACGTCCTTGAAGGCATACTTGCTCTTGCAATTCTCTCCACTCCCCATCTTTACATGTACAGTAATCTCCCACTAGACCACACTGGGGATCCCTCTCTACTTCAGAATCCTTGCCTTACATGTTCCCATCAGTCCCCGCTCCCAACCCAATCACTGGACATCATGCACCTCCCTATTTGGCTCAGTAAAAGGATTCCCTTCTTTGCTAAAGAGCCATCCCACGGCTGAGCATAATAGCACACACCAGTCAGTAATCCCAGCACTCTGAAGGTGACAGATTCCAAGTTCAAGGCCAGTCTGTAAAACCATCTTAAAATTAGAAGCTTAGGATGTCACTTGGTGGTAGAGCATTTACCTAGTGTGAAACAAAGTTAAGAAGGCCCAGGGTTTGATCCCCCCAGCATCCTCCTCATTCCCAAAAGGAGCTATCCTAATTTTTTTATCCATTCTTAACTCATACACAGTTCTTAAATTTTCTCAAGGCATCCCCCATGAGCTTCTCTGACACAATTGCACGCCTCTGGACCACTTACACTTGTTAACCCAGACCCTTCTCATCACCCTTGACAAAAGAGATACCACAGCTGACTATTCGTGTCTTTAAGGGTTCCTACAATGGCATCCACAGTGGCTCTTATTTTAATACTATATTTTATGGTTCTCTCAATGACCCAGAGTACAAAGTGGCTAGGGGTATACCTTCAAAAGCTGTACAATAGCTGGTGTACACTACAGTGGCTTTGTGAGTCGGTTTTATGTTAGTGTGACAAAACACCCAAGAGAGACATCTTACAAGAGAAAAGTGAACTGTTGGCTCACAGTTTCAGTTCTTACTGTCCAGAGTTGCCTCGTGGCAGCCAGGAAAGAGCAGGACAGAGATCTAGGCAGATGGTATTGTCCTTCAATGACCTGCTTCCCTAGCTAGGTCCCACATCCCAATAATCAATTCAATTTTGAATTCATCAGTGGATTCATCTCCTCTGATGGGTGTAGCGTCTATGACGTACTCACCACACTCCCTCACTGCAGGCACAAACTATCTAACTGAGCCTTGGGGACATTTTATGGAAATCATGAACATCCTCATGTCAGAGACCTGTGATATAAAATGTTTCCTGGAATATAAATTTGGATCTAAAAGGGTACAGACTTTTTTTTTTCATTATAAAAATGACTACTTCATGGAGCTGTGTAAGAAATGATCTGTTCTTCTCGGCTAGTAAAGTACTTTGGCGTCCGATGATGCACGGAACCACGTAAAACAGCCAGGCAGAGGGTGAGCCCCTAATCCCAGCACAGGGAGTGCAGTCAGGCAAATCCCTAGGCCTTGCTGGCCAGCCTAACCAACCCATTAAGCTGTCTCAAAAACAAACAGAAAAACAAGGCGTAGAGTGACTGAAGATATCTATCTGACATTGGTCTCTGGCCCCTACATACATGTACACATATGTGTTACCTGCACTCTCATAAGCATGACACATATATACACAAATTAAAAATATGAAAAAAATTTAAAAATGAACGATTTAATAATGATGCTATACAATTCACACCCATCTCAGTGCTTAGTAGAGAGATAGTGGTATGCTAGCCTAATGTATAGCAAAGAATAGACAGAAAGTACTCAATAAATGGGTCATGATGGATACACTACATCATCTTCAAATATAAATCAATTCTAATTATGAAGAAAAAAGAGGGCCCAAAAGTTGGACCAGAGAGCAAAACAATTTAACACATGGCAGCGATCTTCCTATAGGGTAATGAAAGTTCAGGATCTGGCTGTATATACAGTTCAGGGGTGGAGGGTAGAGTGTAGAGGGCCCGCCTAGCGATTATATACAAGTTTCATCCTATAGCCCAGCATTTGAGCCTCTTTCTGGGAAGGGGGGTATGAATTTAATTGTTGTCTGCTGTTCTTAGCAGGTCTGGCACCTTCCACGCTCTGTAGTTTCCTTTCTTCTTCGTCGGGGGTCGCAGGAGTCGGAGCTGAGAGGAGACCCAGGCCCACCACTGTGACAACAGGGCACACAGGAAGCAAGTGACCCGGCTCTGGAGGTGGAACCCAGGGGGCGGGGCCGGAGAAGGAGAAGCCCCTGGTCGGAGCAGCTCCAGCATCAGAAACCCCACCCATCCTGCATGGTGCGCCTGCATAGGACTGGAAGACAGAAGTTTTTTTATGGCCATATTTTATACTGCAACTCTGATGTGTTCATTTCTCACAAACTGTACTGACTGACTCAAGGGGAGCTGACGTCACAGGATCTGGTGCTGTATATACGAATCTTGCAAAGCTCTAACTGAATGGACCTTCTTGCTCCCCTCCCCCAACTCTACCACTCCGCTCTCTCAGTGTAGGCAGCCGTCTAGGGTGTATTTTTTTCATGAAAAAAAAAAAATCAAGGTTTCAACTGGATTATTTAAATATCGGTAAATGTTGTGCGTTAGGACTTTTTTCTTTTGAGATGTGTCTTTTTGATCTGTTAGTTATATGATCTCTTATCATTTACTCTTTAATAGTGGTTTTACGTTAACCTTTTAGAGATTTTTTTCCCTTCCCAGAAGGGTTAAAAGGTATTTTTTACAAATTCTAAGAGGATCAAGAATCTGTGTCCACTGCTAAGAGTGCACGATACTTGTGTTCCTTCACTCCTAGTCCCTTCCTCCAGAAGTCACCTCAGCCGCTGTGCTGGGCTGGTTTTGGCAGGAAACTGGCAGAAAACCTTACAGGCAGCTTCCCCTGAGAACTGCTTACCAACCACAGAAGATACAAGCTTGTTTCCTCCACCCTGAACTCCAGGCTCCACATTACAGGTGAACTGCCCTCCAGGAACAGGATCCCCACAGTGCCAAGATTTAGGAGCCTCCCTTGCAGAAGGGACGGACTGCCATCTTGTTTTTTTAAAGGAACCACACACAGCCCTCAATTCTCCTGGGGGATGATGGATGAAACTCTATTCTCAGCTATGCACTTTTAAAATGAATCTCTTTATCTGTTTTAATTTTTTAAATTCATTTCTAATAGTACCCTTCAAATGGCCTATACCACACACTCCCCCCCACAACATTTTTACCCTGTTCTCTCATGAACATTACCCAAGAGAGAGGACAGAAATAGCCTTGAAGAAGAAACCTTTTATTTTAGGTGGAAAGGAAAAACACAGCAAGTGAGTAGAATATTGTCCATCCTAGAGATGGCTGACTCAGCAAGATCCAGCTGGTGCAGAAGCCTTCCCTTCCATCAGAGGAATCTAATAACAGTACCTGTGGTAGTCAGGCTATTGTGTGTCTGGGTTTAACAGGGACTGAAGGATTTTCCAGGATGTGGAACTTGAAGGCTAAAATCAGGCATGTCCTGTGAAAACCAGTTTCAAGGAGGCTCTTGGAGACCAAAGCAGGTGGTTCAAAGGCCAGTTTTGCCAATGTTTTCCTTCAGCTGTCATGTTTGTCTAAAGCCTGAGCCTCATCCACAGTCAGCCGAAGCCTGCCAAGATGGACTGTGATAGGTCTCCCTCGTGGCTCAGGGACTGTCCTCTCAGGCTGTGTCCTTCTTATGTACTTGCCAGCCATAGAAATTCCTGCTGGACAAGTACGTCATTCTTGTCACCCTACACCTTTGCTCCCAGCCCTCTCCACACACACATACACACACACACACATGTATGTGCACACACAATGTCACCAAGCAGGCAGCTCCAGCTCCCCAAAGGTCACTGTACAAGATATGTAAGAGTGGTTTCAAACTCAGACATCTGGTCTACCCTGTTCTCACGTGTATCAAATAAATACAGAACAGGTGAAGAGTAAGCCCTAGTATAGGTATCTACCTTGCAATCAACCATGCTTGGTTCAACCTTGATCTTTCAGGTCTCCGTGAACTAGTGTAAGGTGGTGATGGCTAGTGCCAGCCCAGTAGTAGGCAAGGTTGAACATGCTATCGGGAAACCCGTGCATGACACCATTTCCTACTGTCTTAAGAAAGATGAAAATAAGTGCCACTGGGACGAGTCTGAGAAGGGCATTGTGGTAGAAAGAGAAAGTTTCACTTTCACTTGGTAGTATTATATAATAATATATAAAAACACAGAATGGACCTAGTCTTAAGACCTGGAAAGGGGTATGTCAAAGTCTGAGCTCCCTAACTCTTCTCATATTCCAGTGATGTAAGCTGAGAACTACAGTACCAGTACAATGGGTGAACATACCAGTATGCTTAGCATCATCCTGTGGCCACACACACACACCCTCTCTGACTACATTTCTAATACCAGGCTCTCCCTATACCTCCATTATATTGCCTTTTCACATTTGCTAGACAAGTGGACATGTATATCCTCACTTGGTTATGAAATATTGAAATACTTTCAGAATAGCCTTTCCCTCTGCTTCCTGCCTGTCCTTCCCCCCCCCCTTTCTGCCCTTTACCTATACATGAGGCAGAAAGAGCAGCTAATATTCATCCAAAACCAACAGTGAATGGAAGCTCTCACTCAGCCCCATCAGAGCCATAGATTCTCATTCTAAAGCAAGGGATCTCTAGAGTTTGGAGCTTCATGTCTTGGTCAGGAAGAGATAGAGGCAGTTAGAGGCTGGAGGAGCAGGGATTGCCACAGAATCCTTGAGGACATGGAGACTACAGTGACTGAGACAGCAATCCCAGTGTTGTAGGCACCCTTTGTAACAAGCCCCAGCAAGTTTTTACCTCTTCCTACTGCCTCTAACCCCAAAGGGACTCTGACTCTAAAAGATCAGCAGGTATTCACCTCTGTGTGTGAAAGAAAAGGACTATGGAGAAGTAATTTAAACAAACCAAAAGACATAGATTCCTGTCCTTCACTTTGATTCTGGGCCACTTCTCAAACACTATCTTGAGTCTCCAGCCATACCATTTTGATTGTGCCCAATGTTGTCGAAGATTCCTCCTTAAGAAAACAGCTGCCTCCACTTGCATGCCAACTCGTGGTCTAGACATACTTCCTCTCTTCAGGTATCTCTGAGTGTGGTATCTGGAAACACAGGAGTTGGCTCAGTGAATCCCAGATTCTGTTTACTTACTTATGCTTTTTGTTTCTATACTTCAGTACTGGCTAGCTTGTCGATGGCAGAGAGAATTGGCCTTTACACCACAGGCCACGTACAACATGAACACAGGAGAAGAAATTAGTTGGCCCTGTCTTGAGAGTTCTGACCCCTCCTATAGGATGCAAAACTCAATATGGTCAGAGCTCCTGGGTTTGGTGGGTTTTGAGCATGTTTAAACAGCAAGAGAAGCCCACCTAGTGGAAATGACTGGGCATTTTAGAACCCTAGGTTATCATAACCCCTTGGCCTACTCAGAACTGTGGCCAAAGCTGACTTTTTACACTGAGGAAACCAAGCAGGTACCACTACTCCAGGCTGTAGGCAGGAGACCTGGGACAGAGCCTCTCTGCCTTGCGGGATTTGCGAAAGTGCTGTGCTAGGTTTTTCTGGGCTATGAGGAATAAAGGTGAGGATGGTGGATGAAGGAAAGCCCCTTCCATTTCTCATAACCAGAAATCATGTTTTCCAGTATGTTACCACCACTTCCAACAAGTGAGATGCAGGCCTCCCTTGCATGTCCTCCCAAACCAGTGCTAGGTCCCCATCCCTTCTCACATTCCAACAACTTGCCTTTTCCTTAACCACATTCCAGACCAAACACTGTTCAGTTTGTTTCCAAAATTAAAAACCAGTGTATATATCTGTATGTAGTCCACTGCTCTTTAGGGGGTTTCCTGGTCCTAAGGTGGGGCTGCAGGCAGAAAAGGTATTCTTGGTTTTTAGAATTGAAAGTTTTGAAGCGATTTACCCAGTTAGTTTTTTTGTTTTGTTTTGTTTTGTTTTCAAGCTAAGCTGGGGAAGTAGATTTCAAAAGGCAAACTTACTTCCTGTGACTCCACAAAAATTTGTGTGCAGGCAAGTTAGTTTGAAATCTTCAACTCTGGGAGGCAGGCAGGTCTAAAAGAGGAAGAAGAGGAAAGGCCACATCCCGTCTACCAGGTCCCTTCTTGGTGGTCTCAGTGCATGAACGTCTGTCTGCAGCTCTGGTGTGTGCACAGGAGCCTAGCGCCACTGTGAAGATGGCCCTGCATGCTGGCCACAGCCTGGCCTGCCTTCTCCCAGCAAATCTTCATCAGGGGGGACTTAACCCTGAGTAGACTTCCCTGAAAACTCCATCGGGAGCAGCTCAGCTTGTGGCTTTATGGGTTCTACTTTTGCAAACCCAAAGGCTGCGCATTTGGAAGCCAAATATTCTGTTCAGCATGTGGCTGCCGAGTCTGGTTTTGTGGACAAAACAAACTGTGCAATGGCTTCTCTGTGTCTGTATTTTTCTAAGCCAAAGGGACAAACTATTGCATTGACACCCTGCCCCCTGTACTAAAGCTGCTTCCGCATTCTCCGTGCCCCCATTCTTAACCTTTTTTTTTGTCTCTGGGGAATTTGTCATATAATTACTATGTCCTCTGATGATTTACCAAACTATGTTGCTTATAGGTGATTTTATTTTCCTTATGGAGGGAACAAAATAGAAAATGAGAGACATCTTTGAGGCTTTGGTCAAAGACATCACTCAAAAGTTCCAAACACTAGTTAACTCGCTTCTCAATAGGAAAAAATCTTAGTTTGGATAGAGGAGGATTCTGAGGCCCTCTTGGATAACCCTGCACTTTGGAAGACAACGCCCTGGGGCAGAGCTGGCAGTCAGGCTACAAAAGAGGAGAAAAAATGGTCTAGAACATCATCTCAGATGTTTGTCCCACACTACAGAAGCTGCGGCTCTCCTTGACAGGCACGTGGTCATTTCAGGGCAATGTAAGACTCTGTCCAGTGTTATAGCAGCGTCTTCAGTTTGAAGGACAGGGCTGCATGTTTCAGAGAACATTTTTCTTAGCCCACATTCGGGTGAGAAGACACCAAAGGTATCTGCCCAGAACATCCATTGGAATAATGTCTAAATTGGCTTCTGTGGCTATCTATACATGATATAATTGGTCTCCAATCAGCTCTCTCCCAATGATGGCCATGTTTTCCTGACAGTTTCCATCAAGTCCAGGTTTGGTCCACTCATTATTACCAGGCTTGCAATTGGTTTGGGTTTTGGGGATTTTTTTCCATTAAAACCATGCTTATCCAAAAATAAAAAGTAAAGTAAAAAAGTAAAAAGTAAAAGAAGGGAAACTGTGCATTTATCCCATGCATGTAGTAAACTCTGCAAGAAGTTTAACTCCCTTAGGTTTGCGGCACTGCAAAATTGTTCATGGGTCTATGTAGCAAATGATTCTCTGCCTTGACAATCATGTATACATATCGATTTCTATCATAATGATAATGAGATTGATGACTTCTTGTTTTCCTCCAATAAAGAGAA